TAGTTCCTCCTTTTGGAGCATTCGTGTATTTCTCTTGAACTGAAAAACATGACCCGCTGTCGGCAGAAAGTAGAGGATGCTGAAGAGGAACTGAAGCAAAAAATACAAATTCTCTACGTGGTGTCACCTTTTATAACATGAGTCGGCTCCCTGCAATGGTGTCAAAACTACTTTTGTCGGCTACCGACGCGCTTGTGCAATGAGGTTAGCGAAAACAGCATTAGATTGAGCTTTAGGAGATGACTTCCAAGGCCGACCACGCACAGAATTCTCGCAAACGCAGATTGAAGCAAATGACTTCGGGATGAACCGTTCGTGGTAGTAACGTTCAAATTTACTTGTAAGGATAGTAGCAGTTATATTGTGTCAATATACAGCCGTCTGTGTACGCATGTATACGTGCTTTTTACTAGACCGAGCGTCTGCACCGCGTGTTTTAGCGGCATTGGTTTACTATACCTTTTCTATATCAGAAGTCTTCATTCCATACCTATGACCTCCCATCCGACGACTTCGAGCAGGGCTGCACGCTCCTTCGCATTCCTTCGAATAATAACGACGATCACGTCAGCTGTGTAAGGGACGATTTGGCGATTGCCTGCATTTAGGTTCGTTCGCGCAGTCCACGAGGGGCTCTGCGTTGTGATATTGGCTTCCGATGGAGTCATCAGGATGGTGACTGCAATTGCTGGAACCTCATATACATTCACACTCCCGCACATATATTTATATGTTCCACATACATCCCACTATTGCCTTCCATAGGCGCCTTTAGTTTCAACCGATCAGGCTTACTCACACACACACACGAACACGCCTGCATCATGCTCACGTTCGTCTCAATCCAGTAGCTTCAACGGTACTGATGATGTTGGCGGTGACGATAAAGAGCGCAGCAACACGTTCAATGTTCGCGGCTAGGCTTCATGGACATGCCAAGAGTCCGGTAGTTTCCTTGCAGGGGTCCCGGCCCTCCAACTAACGCCATTTGGTTTCACTCAGCTTTTATTGGCGATAGCAACACGAGCACTCATGCAGCCACTACTTCTCGGTCTTTTCCGCCTGTTTACACGTAGACTGCACGCGTTGACTCGTAGGACGGGAGAAAAAGAGTGGTAAATAGTTGACGAACGCTAGACTCAAGGAACGTGGGATAATTCTAGGAGCAGGTGGATCACGAACGAAAGGAACCTCGATGAGCAGCTCCAATAGAGTTGCACTTACAATTCGGATCCAGTATAGCGTCCGAACGAGCGTTCACAGCAATAGTTTGCCTGACCGATTGTGGTTACTTCAAATTGATACGGCTGCACACCATCTCAAGTCGTTCGGTAGGTAACAACGTTAGGGTGAAATATACGAACGGACGGACAATGGAAGAGAACGCGACACGAGAGAGTGAACAGTAGAATGTCGTATATGGCATAATTTCGCTTAAATGTTTCGTCGAAAATCGTATAGAAAAGCGACGGAGAGTTTTCGAAGGGACGGTTAGTACGCATGTATCTTCGTATGCGTCTCGTAGCTCGGTCGTAATGATAGATTCCACGTTTCAGCAAAGTACTCGTATGTTTTAGGGCACTTCTCAGGGGTGTTAACTCATAATTCCTTAAAACCAACACGGTTTTGCGCACGTAACCTGTCCTATTCATACAGTTTGAACCGCTCGCTAGACTAATCTAGAGTAGCAGGTGAAAACCATCTAGGTCGTAGGCCGATATTTTATAGAATGTACCATTTGATCTTTTATTGACAACTTCTAACTGAAATGTCTGGCTAAAATGACCAACTAGATGCTGCTTCGTTTTTTTAGATTTGCTTATTTTCATTAAAGTTGGTTTTTACATGAAGTTTTAAGCATCTAGTTGTAACATTGACATACCTACTACATGCCTATTGATGCTGCACCAGTTTCACAAATCTTAAAGCTTCACTACGTAGAAAAAATACGGTAATTATCAGAGTCCGGACGTAAGTTCTAATTTGTTTAATAACATGCTATTAAAAGCAATGTGTAGAGCCGTTACGGAACGCAGTAGTCGTCGGCGTCTGCCTTATAAGACCTCTGCTCTGAATCTTTAGCGATATTCTACGTGTGCTCCTTCTGTCCATACAAAACTTTGTTAACAATCTTACTGCAAGTCACCTTATAGCTACGCGCACGATTCTAACAATAGATCGATAGGCAATGATTTTAGTTTCCACAGAGACAGCTAATGCAATGAAAGCTCAGTTAATTGTTTGCTTTGTGCGAATCGCCGTCTCTGTGCTGTGGCCGGATTACTCTAGAGCAACGGCCCTATCTTTAGATGTCGTCTTTGCTTTCTGACGTCAAGGTTCCGCGTAAAACGTGGCCAGATTTGGCTACAGTACACCGGAGCTTTCGATGGCCGATCTTTGTAAGGGACACTCTTGAGTTCATAATAGCGCTTTCTTTGTAGCTACCACATATAGACAAAGCCAATATTGGGGTCTTGCCTTTAAAAGAAGATAGTAGATGTATGATGGATCCACAAACCTAATACACGTTGACCGTGCTACATTAATCCTGTTCAAACTGGATTCAAAATCCCCCGTGTGTCTTGTTACTCACAGACTCTCGCGCTAGACTTCGGAGCTTAAGAGGGCCTTTCAAAATGACCAAACAGACGATTGGCGAATCTGTAAGTACAACCTAGCAGCCTCTTTGTCCGCCCTTGTTATCGCTTTTATGTACTTGTAAATATGGCAGTGACGAACGCTTGACGATTAAACTGGTATGGTGAGGAAAAGCCACGAAATGGCTAGCACCATCAATATCATCGCAAATCAAGTAAATACGATCGTATGGTTCTGTGATTTTCAAAGTTCAGCACACAATAAAGTGAGATATATGGCTTCAGGAATCACTAGGGAAATGAGACCTTTAAACTGAAGAAACTTTACAACGAAGTCGAGAACATAGCAAAAGTAGTTGAAGCTGTAAGACAAACCGGAAAACCTATAGCAGAACCTAAGGCTAACGCTGTTGCGCATGGCCAGGAATCAGGATGCTTCAAGAAAATGCCCATGCCTGACAAAAGTTTTCTTATAAGAAAGTTCTTACTGGAGTCGCATGAATGCCGTTATTTTAACAAGGAGGTTCACCTATAGGAAACCTGCTATAAGGAACAGAAAATAGAACCCAGTAGAATGCACAGTTCATCGAACAAGCCACTGCAGAGTTCGCGGTATAAGCAATAGACAACGGTTAAGATAGACGGCTGACTCTGACGAATTACACAGGAATAAAGACGCCTTGGTGAGCCACGGCTGATATCGATTTTATTGGCACTATACGCTAAGAACGACACGTGTTTACATAGAAAGAGCTATATTCTAGGAAACTTGAAGTTGAATTTTACCGCAGTGGAATAGGGATTGAGGGACGTCATTGACTTGGCCATTGATTCAGAGAGTATACCATGGTCCTACAAAAAAAATAGTCTGATATATCGTCAAACAGTTTTTACGATTTATGCACTTACAGCAGAAATGGAGCTAGCTAAAGGGATTGGCGCGCAAAAAGGAGCAGAGTTGATCATAGTTTTACGAAAAAAGAAAGGTTTCACTTGAAATCAAGATATCCGTCTGGCCAGTTTTATGCCCAGTACATACGGTCGCTTCAGATGACTAGCTGTCCGGCTTCTAAGCTAGAGCGCCTCACACGTCCCTAATGTTAGTTAGCAAACACGTTACAGCCACACCACGGGAACGCTGCCTTCTTCCCAAAGGTTCGTCTGACTGAATAGCGACAGAATACAAGCTTCGTTAAATCTGTTCTATGTTTGCCGCCCATCAAAATCACCCGGAAGCGTACGTTTTCTGGTCACGGCTTCGTAAAGGTATTGAAAAAATCGTCAGGGGCTAAGCAATTGCTGGATGCCAATCGACGGCTCCTCGGAAGGCAAGTTAGCCGAGATTTACGGAGGTTCATATAGGTGATATTACCTGGCTGTAGAAGGATACAAGAGAATAGCTAATATCAAGAGTAGTCAGGAAGTACAACAGCTTCTGCAGCTGTTCCGTTCGGCGCTTCTCAGGAAGTGAGGCTCTTTTATACTATGTGATCATATCACAGCGATCATATTAACTAGCATCTTGTTGCAAGTCCTGAGCTGTTACTGTAGATTTTGGCCTAAAACTACGTTCTTTGACGCCTGTTTTTGTTTGCCGTCCTGTAGGAACCACACGGTAAGTACAAATAGCGCTATGCACAAGAAACCGTAATCGGGATACTTATGATCGTAAAATGCGTATCTTTGTTTTACGGTTATTTGCGTAATACAAACATTTCGCATAACGATGGTCTTCATTGATTTTATTTACGACGATTGTCGTTTAGCGGCAAGCGTAGCAGTAGCACCACTTATAAAAAATTATATTTTTAGTATAGTAATTATCTCCACACATGGAAAACACATCAAAGACAGCCGAGGCTTGGCCCGTCAGCTGCACTGTTTTATCTGCCATCGGATGGCATTGGAACAGCACCATATAATAATTAATTTCCAAAAACCATAATCCTGCACATGTTCGACAAATGCAGTCTCTAGCACTTTTGCCGTCTTTGTATATGATGATCACACTCACTATATGGGCGGCTATAAAGCCATCCGAAGACACCGATGACTTCGGGTCAGATGATAAGCGAATGCGGAAGGAGAAAGACCCGTCCGATAGACACTCTCCAGAGCATGCCTAGCTACATAAAGCTGGCCATCTGACAATGGCGGAGTGCGTTCCTCAGTCAGGATACGTGCGCCTCTAGAATCCGGTGGCTTGTAACAGTATCCGTCCCAGGAAGACTCCAGGAAGACAACATTATTTACCTATGCGCAGATTTTGCAAGTGACTGGTTCTTTACGGCTGGCTTAAGCTTTGGATCAACTTTTGAGGACGCACTCAATGTTAATATAAACAATTTACTTAGTTCTATTTTTTGTCAAGCTTTTTTTCTAGCATCAGGTACGTTTTAGTAGAGCAGCAGCAGCAGCAGCATCTGCTTGGAAGCACAAATCACATACGAAGAGATTAGTATTGCATTTACGTTGTATGTTATTATAACAGTATTTTTCAAGGAACGGTTACGTTCCTTATATAGTTATATTGTTATATTATATGGTTATATATCCCTTTGTTTTAATTTTCTGTTATCAATTTATTTGGATCATAGAAAGTAAATAAATTAACAGAAAAAACTGTTTGGCGGAGACAAAGAGCATTCTCGATGCTTCCTTCACAGAGGTCAAACCGTTACCAAAAAAAAAGGGCACAGGCCGTACGTTTTGTGCTATAGGGACCTTGTAGCTGAGAGTGCCATCTGATAAATAGGCTTGCTAAGTTCAAAAATGGCATTTTCGGTCTAAAACGTTTTCGCTCCACTTTTATAGATGCAACAAGCCACATAAATTATTATCATTTTTTTAAAAAAACACTACTGTTATGCGAGCCCGTACCTGTTTCTTATGGAGTCCTCATAATGTGCGCAACAAATGTCCTGGCTTGCGTTTGCAGCTATCTGATATTAATGATAGGTCATTATCGAAATTTCACTCTATCTTTTTTCCACATACCCACACTTAAAGTCCTAACATAAAGTAAACATTTGATAATTTCAAGAAAGTGTTAATATTAAGCCTGTGAAACCCGGAATTATTTTTTTTCCAGAAGTGTCCGAACAAATGAGGCATTGAAAAAAGAAGCCAGTGTATAATTTAATTAACCGACTAATGTAATCGTGAAACCCTTGCTGTCGTATATCGATCATAGTCTGCTTAATGGATCAGTAGCTCATATAGTTCTGTTAATAACATAAGATCACGATGTGCATATTGTTGTACATAAATACTACAGCATATTCTGTACAGGGGGGTCGAATAGGGTCGCTGAACTGCCTCGAAGACTCGTGCGTACTTCGGCGTTCTTCGTGCGATTATAGCTTTCAAACGCGATCCTAAGCAGGCTCTGCTAGCAACTCTGGTGATTCCATTCTCAACTTAAACAACAATCTTCCGTGTGTTCTATGCAATAAGCTGTTCTTAATTTTACTGATTCAGCTAAATTGTAGAGGAATATTAACTTTAGGATAGGCATTCCGGATCGAGTTAGGATAGACTTACTTCCGCCTGTGGCGTTTTGCTCGTTTAGAGAGGCGCGGCTGCAAGACTCCGAACTTTTTATCGGTTAGATTGCACGAACAGAGCAGAGACATGATCTGCGCGAAAAATTAAGGTAAACCCTCTGAATTAAAAAAGCAAGTAAAAGGGTTTAAGCAAATTAAGAGGCAAACTTAATTTATATTCATATCAATTCATTTGCAGTATGTGTAACTGTAGTCTACAGATATTTATTCTATAATATGTTGAGCTGTTTTCATGACAGCACAGCTGACAACACAATCTGGGACAATTCCTCGGAGAAAGTTCAACGTTTCATGGAAATGTGCCAGAATTAGACTTTGGTTAAAAAATGGTTATCTTTTGGAAGCACGCTAGTTAATTTTGCTTTCGACACGGATTTGACTCAAGTTTTATTTCGCTGACCTGTTCGTGCGTGATGCCACTCTGGCTGCGTTGCATGGACGTGCAACAGTTCCGATCGTGTTTGACTTCACACTGATACTTTACTGTCTTAGTAGTAACTTCAAAGTTTGTCACATTAAGTTGCTGTCGAAACAACATCACCTTGAGCCCCGCGGAAAAATCGCACCGTACCTGTTAAATAGAATTACTAAGAACTCTAATCTCTAATACAGCAACAAAATTTGTTGTGCTGGTACTAAAGGATAATACTTAAGACTACTATTTAATAATAACGTGTTCTAAAGCAGACAGACTAACCTTATCCATCGTCTGTGGCTTTAGTAATTTAAGGTAACTCATAATTAAGTTGATCCCTTCAGTTCACGTATCGTGCAGCTGAAAACTGTATGATTTGTGCCTTCTCTAAATAAATGTTCCTTACTTTTAGGCGCAAAACAATTACAACTGTTACAACACGCTGCTTGTTAAGGGCCTGTATTTTTCTTTCGAAATTATTCCTATCGTAATTTAGAACTCGCCGATACTAGCGCTACGTGCCACATTTTCTTGTCGTTCTATAAGGAAGACGCAGCGTTTTTACATACATTTTATAGAGGCCTAGTTTTTTCCCGAATTTCTTTCCTCTGGTCAGGTTTGGCGATAATAAATAAGGAAGCGTATTGTGAGGCTAGTATATATATGATATAAATTTGCGAAAGGCTTCAGATGCGGAACTAAACGTAACACGAATGATTCCTATCCAGCCGCTGGCCCAGCGAACCTCTACAAATGCTACGCGTATAAGACTGAATAATAAGTCAAATAGAAGCTATATATAATATTTTAATTTGAGAGTATCGAACAACATCTACTGCGACAGCTATAGCGAAAACTTACCAATATATATATATATATATTGTATAATGTTAGGTAATAAGCGAGTTATGATCACTTTAACAACAAAGAAACTTCGTATCGATATGTACATTAGAACGAGTGCAAGAAAGGCCGCGACTAGTGATATTCTAATTGGGTGTACCACGGGGCCTATTTGAAAAGTGTTGACTGGAAGAAAATTATACGTAATAAATTTTATGAGGATTTTGCCATTGAGTAACGGTGCAATCCGACTGAATTTTAGTTGCAGGGCTCGCTTTTTTATCGCAGCAATTCTCGAACCTGCGTACGTTGTAGATCTATGAATAGTAACTAATTTTCTATTCTGCATATGTGAAATTATACGATAGCACATAAAACACGAAAACCAAAATACCACCGACCATCAACCACAACGGAGACGCGTTTTTTCAGGCCATGGTAAGCTAATGCCGTTGGGTTGTGGGCAGATCTCCGGCTGCGATGCTGTTCGATCTCTAACATATTTCACCCAGACTAAGAAACTGATCTGTTAGCATGTAACCATTTTCCGCGTAAACCTTATCGGTTGTTAATGATGTAAAAGCGTGGCAAAGAGAAGTGGGAAGATAATAGGACCATTCAGATCTCATCATAATGCTGCTAAATGTAGTTAGATTAATGGAACGCTTGGATTTTCGATAGTTTTGAGCCCATACCGGTCGCAATTGCTACTAGAGAAAACTTTTCTTTCGCAATACTAAAAAAGTGGACAAATAACGGAATATCAAATGGTATAATATTAAACATCATAGTCTAATAGCAATCGCTGCAAAAATATGTATATATATTATCCTGTTCTTAATTGAGAAGGACATTTGGGCGGAATATACGCACGATGCAGTGTTTAATGAAGCTTAACTGGTGATAGGCTTAGTTAGGCCTTAAGCCGCGTTTTGATCTTTAAACTTTCTTTCTCAAGATCTATCTAACGGATGTCCAGATATTTTTGGCCAAGGATAAGCATTCATAAAAACCTTTCACACTTGAAGATTGGCTGTTGATCGTTTCTTGAGCTCATATAGGTAAGGCGTATATTTACCTAAATTATATAATTATTATATAAATCTACGACGTTTGCTCGAAATAATTTGAAAAGAAAGGTTGAAATAATTACGGCGGTTATCTTTCCTTTATCCGAGTGATATAACATAGAAACTAAAAAAAAAAAGAGACTCAAAAGAGAGCGCATTAATCTAAGACGAAATAGCCGTTAAACTAGTTGGACAACAACGACCCCTTTTTCTTATGTTTTTCCCTAGTGCCCCCAGCAGCTTATGTGCGAATCTGCTATTTCCGGACGCGTTCTCTGTCTAAGGCAGCACTAGTCTCTCGTCCGGCTTGTCCGCCGATCGCTGTAGAGAAAGGTCAACCATGCTTCGTTTATGTCGATCATATACCTCAGGCGGATTTTTGTTGAAAAAGATTCAATTAGCCTGGAATCAATTTACCCACGACGGACCGATTTTTTACCTAGTTTCGATGTTTTCAGTGCTCAAGTTACAACTGTAAAACTTGCTATATGTGAAATGTCAGCTTCGACAGACAGTGCCCATAGAGTCTGAGCTCTGTTTTTATGTAAAGTCCACGTTTTTGTTCCTTGGATTCCACCTCTTCGCTGGTCTTCAACACCTCAATCTTCGTTTTTGAAACATCTGCACCATTCGCGTTCTGTGTTTTCGCTTGAGGCCTTCTTACTTAACGTCCTCAGCAGTCTTCGATGAAGTTCTTCAGCGCTGTCGCTTTCGAGTAGCGAAAACTCCGGCACGGAGCGTAGAGCCTCGGGACGAAGATTTGTTCTCTGTATTGAATTAGTTTATCCTACAATAATAAGCTCACAAGTTCTTTGAAGACTGGTGTATGTATTAGTCAAATTTTATCTACTAGTTATTTAGCTTCAAATACCCACGGTATTCTTTGGTAAAAGCCTAATATTTTATTGATAAAGTGTAGGTATTGTATTGTTGGCATATTGAAACTTTCCCATCTATTGACGAAGTGATGTTGATTAATTAGCCTGGATTCATTTTTTCCACGCTCTCATGTCTAAACTCATATAGCCCATCTGTCCTACTCGTTGATCTTTCTCTTTTGTTGATTATATCGAAAATCCACAGCAAGACCCCTCCGGGATCTCGCACTACTAATGTAGGAAGCGTTCATTGTTCAAGCAGATGTTGTAACTTGGCCAAAAAGTTGACGAGTCGAAATGAGCTCTCGCCGTTCGTCATTGGAGCAGCGCCACCCGGCTAAATGCCACGCTCATCTACTGGTTTTCGTCCAGCCACAGCCATCTATCCACATTCTTCGACAGAACGAAAGCGCGACTCATCTACAGCGAACTGAGGTGATTGTTGTTCGACTCGATGTCGTGAGGGGGCCTCGGTATCTTCGTTTCGAAGTAAATTAATTTCATTATGATGTACTATACATACAGCGACGTGGCAACTGGTGAGGAGTTGAAATCCGACCAACAACGATAACCCGGTAATGCCTCCCACCCACTACCGAAAACCTACTACATCTGCTGCTGCATGCATCGCCTTTGAGCACCCACACGCTAACTGTACAGTTCCAGCAACAGACAGGCGCTTCTGAAGCGCAGAACGCCCCAGTTTCAATGGCCCATAATTCCAGTCGGTTGGTTAATCAAAGGTCTGCCTAAAAATCTCTACCAAAAGATTCGAGTTTCCGTTCCCTCTCTCTCTCTCTCTCTCTCTTTCTCTCTCGATACATACATATGTACATGTAGGTCTGAGCATGAGAATGCTTCACGAGCACTTCCCTACTGGAGTTGCATAGCTAATGATTATCATCAAACACTCATACAACATCGGCAGTAGTAGCAACAACAATTCGGGCCTATCTATATGCGCGGTTAGATGTGTGCTAGCCTTGTTAAACAATGCGAATCGCTTCCAAGCCGAGGGGCCGACTAGTATAGCAAAATAAACTGTGTACTACTGCGGTCCCAGTTATGGAAGTTCCTAGCATGGCGTTTGCATAGTGAACGATATCTACTAGGCGATATGTGTATTGACTAATGATATCGGGCTATTGTTTAGCTGTAACTAACACTGCGAGGGTAAAGAGAAAGGTGCCTGGACAAACTCTGAAAAATGACATCAGATGAAAAATGCGGGTCCAAGAATCCTGTCTGGTAAATCTGTATGTCACAAACATAACGGTTGCTCCTGTCCTGAGCATGTCCGCGTTTTACAGCTGACGTTTGACAGCTGGGGGGACAGAAGGCGAAGAACCACTCGCAGCGACAAACGAAGAAAGCGCCTGGGTAATAGTCGATGTGTTAGGCCCGATCAGGCCAGCTAGGCTAGCTTTGATCTCTTATCTTCCTTTGGTACCGAACGAAGATTAGAATCAGCGAATTCAAGCAAACAATCGATAATGGCGGCTCTGTGAGCCTGCTCACCGAAGGTGCAGCCTGTTAACAGCAACAGATAGAATTGTTAAGAACGAAACTGCCGACAGGCAGCCCCAACGGCACGAAAATAAAAAAATAACATGAAAAAATCAAGGTGGGGGAGGGTACGCTTGTGTTAAGGCGATAGGATTCCTAGGGATCTCAGTGGAAAACAAATTGTGAAATTACGTGTTTGCACCGAGTTTTTGCTAAGAGGGGGAAAAGGAAAAGCTTACTGGACCTCTGTTGAGCAAGCCCGTGCGTACCTTTAATGTTTCGCAGCAAATGGCTGGCTCGCTGACAAGTTCCTGTTGTCCAAAGTAGCCTGAGATTGAGCAAGGAACAAGCGAAGTGGCTTGGTGTGTCTGGCTGTAGGAAAAAGCACACGCACGAAGCAGATACATAGGGAGCTATTGCTGGCCGGAAGATGCTGGCGAACTTGTAGCAGACATGAAAGAGGTTAGAGTGCAGAGAGGAGGTGAGTGTTGTGCGCATCGGTGAACAGGGAACGCGGACCCTATGATTAAATAGCCCAGTAATATCGCTAAGTTACGAACGAAAAAGTACACTCAAAGCACAAACTCGACCGAAATTAGCCAAAAAGTTGAACAGAAGAGGGCGGAAACTTGTAGTTGACAGATCAACGGAAGGCAATGGAAAAGTTTTGATGAGCTCGTCTACAGTTCGCAGTGCCGTAAACCAACTAGAGGACCCATTTGAGGGAACGAGGACAAACAAGACACACATCTAATATCATTGAAGGTATAAAGATTGAAAACGGATACAAAAAGGCTAGTAGAAACCAGTTCGTCTAATACCAATAGAAGCTCATCGCGTACTTTGTAGACAGAAAAAATATCGAGCCACCAAGGCGCGCTTATTTCTCTAAATTTGAGAACTCTTGAAACAGTTGTTTTTATAAAAAAAAAAAAAACGAAAAATAATTGGTTACTTTATTCAATTTTCAGGTTCGCGTAGCGCGTAGGATGCTATCGATGGGAATAAATAATTTATATACAACTTTTGATGATGTGTTTTTGTAAGCTGTTATTGTCAAATCTGCTAGTAGGT